AAAGGAATTCAAAATCACGAGGGTGTAGGATTGTCGCAAGAACGTGATTTTACGATTATGAATTATTTACATAGGCCAGCATCCCTCTTCAGGTCTGTTTGCTTTGAGATAAGCCTCCCCTTCCCGATAAAACTCACCCCTTCTCTAGCTGATGGAAGGGATTTCATTTACTGGTATTAAAAAATATGTATAAGGTTGGAGTAAAATTCGTAATCGGTAAGCAACTTACTAATTATTTAAATAACAACCATACAAAAACGAAAAAATAATGACATGAATTTCTATTTGACAAAACATACAAAACGTTGTGTCTTTGTTAGTTTTTAATGGTGCAGTCTTTTACCACCTCTCTATAACTTGCAGCACACTTATAAGCGAAAAATGACCTAAAAATACTGAATCCTAATATCTTTCATTTATTTAAATACAAACTTGCATTGCCCCTAAACCTTTTATATATATGAACCACAATTTCCCAACCCGTGTGTATAATGCGTATTTAACTGCTTGAAGTCACGCAGACCTACACCATGTATGGAGAATGACGTCATTTTGACGAGACATCTACCTTGATGGTCACATTGGGCAATGTTGCGGCGAAGTTGTGTCACACGTTGAATAGAATGTTATATAGGCCGATCATAGTTGACAATAGGAGAGAATGGTATACACAATAGTAGTACACACTGATCCTATTGGGATTTTGTGCAATTTAAAGATTGTAAATATAGTTCACAGACAAATAATTAGAAACATAGAAACTGAGGCTAATTGAGTAGTAGAATTTGATTTGCACGCCATATTGCAATGAATAAGCACAGTATCTGAATGAAACAGTGTTTGATTCACATGCAACACGTGCAGGTTCAAGCCTAAGTAGTCACAAACTTTATGAGTTCAATAGTTCTCTAAACTGAGTAGTAGGTTTCATATAGGTAAATCCCTTCAGTCCAGGTGTACGTAAATTCATTTTACTTTCATTCTCATTGACTCAAGTATACTCTAAAAAGTACAGAATAAGCAATCTATCACTAAGTAGTCTATGTCCTCTTTTCACTACTCACACCTTTAGAGAGTCAGAAGTTTGAAAGTCAAAGTCACGACTACATTCCAAAGAATTGGGCTGTTAAATTTGTTAAGTTATACAAATGAAACCGGCAGACTGAAGAATGAAAGTAGTTGACTGTTAGAAATTGGGCCTTTGAAAATCTAGATGCAAACGTAGATGTGAAGGCCATCTTCATAACTTCGAGAATCACAAACTTCCGATATTTTTAGCTTCCGAGCCATATTATCATCATAAACTTGATTTCGATTCTGGCATTAACCCTGATCTTGATTCTATTCATAATCCTTTACCTGATTCAGTTATTAAGATGGGGATGCCACTTATAAGGAGCGTATTGTAACCCAAATATGAGTGAAGGATGCGTGTAGAATGGTGTGAGAATTGTAGTAATTCAGTTAATTTGTGTTTTTACCAGGAAAGTTTTGGGGTAGTTTTGATTTTTTCCATTTCTTATGTATTTTGGGGTGCTGAATCCGAATCTGAGGTTTGCCAACAAAAATTCTTGACGCAACAATGACAAAAATGAGAAAAATATGGAAAAAAATTATATTTTTTGTAATATTTAGCTTATAACTCACAAACTATCAACTTTTTGTTATTAGTCTATATTATAAAAATTAAAGTACACAAAATTTGCTACAAAATGTACCCATAATGTGGAAATCTCCGATGAACCGTTTAGGCTCCAGAGCTATTTGAAAATTGGAACATTTTGTGTTAGTTTTTAAATTTCTCCAATTATTCTGTCAATGACATATATTCATTGCATATGCCCAGGCAAAGGTCTTATATAAATACAAAGTGTTAAAATTGATTAATTTTGTGTTACTGAACCGTTGACATTTTATTTAGTGTACAGAAAAGTTACACGAACTGTTGCCGTTTAAATTATCCTCGCCCAGAGGGTTGTAATGAGGCAGGTTCTGGCAAACGTTTCGATGCATTATTTGTGAGCATTCTAGCTTGTTCATCTGGACAATTAAAAAAAGGTTAAAAGTAAAAAAATTACTCATAGTAATAAGTAATACCAAAATCAAAATTATCAAAATTAAAATAACAGCAATCTGTTAATCATGTAATATCGTATGCACCTGATGACGTGATATTTAGGTATACGTAAATAATAAAATGTTATGTAGGCATATACTGTTGCTAAGCATTTACATTGTGTGTAGATTTGATAGATTGTAGGTCCTAGGGCGTAGGGCATAGGCCTACATGAGAGTGGTAAGGGTTAATTGACTTAAGATAGTCAATACAAATTTTGGCTAGAAAAATAAATCCAACGTTGCCTCACTGCAACCAACTCAAGCAGCTGTGTGGACATAACTCGCTTAGAGTTAACATTCGGGTGAATGAATGGGGGTGAAAAAAATTAGTATTGGCCTATGGTAACAGTGCCAATCACTCTAAGCCATGCATCGGTCTTGAAATTTTACACAGACAATTTTATAATGGGTGCCAATACGATTGAGGTTGTACAATGGGCTGTGATGCTAAAGTCTAAGTAAATACGAAAGTAAGTATAGTACCTACCAAACGCACATTCCTTTATTTATTAACTTGTTAAATCTACACACAATATAAATGCTTAACAACAGTATATACCTACATAAAATTTTATTATTTACGTATATCTAAATATCACGTCATCAGGTGCATACGATATTACATGATTAACAGATTGCTGTTATTTTAATTTTGATAATTTTGATTTTGGTATTACTTATTACTATGAGTAATTTTTTTACTTTTAACCTTTTTTTAATTGTCCAGATGAACAAGCTAGAATGCTCACAAATAATGCATCGAAACGTTTGCCAGAACCTGCCTCATTACAACCCTCTGGGCGAGGATAATTTAAACGGCAACAGTTCGTGTAACTTTTCTGTACACTAAATAAAATGTCAACGGTTCAGTAACACAAAATTAATCAATTTTAACACTTTGTATTTATATAAGACCTTTGCCTGGGCATATGCAATGAATATATGTCATTGACAGAATAATTGGAGAAATTTAAAAACTAACACAAAATGTTCCAATTTTCAAATAGCTCTGGAGCCTAAACGGTTCATCGGAGATTACCACATTAGGGGTACATTTTGTAGCAAATTTTGTGTACTTTAATTTTTATAATATAGACTAATAACAAAAAGTTGCTAGTTTGTGAGTTATAAGCTAAATATTACAAAAAATATCATTTTTTCCATATTTTTCTCATTTTTGTCAATGTTGCGTCAAGAATTTTTGTTGGCAAACCTCAGATTCGGATTCAGCACCCCAAAATACATAAGAAATGGAAAGAATCAAAACTACCCCAAAACTTTCTTGCTATGAGTAAATTTAAATACAAATTTACTGGATTAGTAGCACAGACAATATAATGTAGCTTTGTTTCTTACTAAGATCAGCTGTTTAATTAGCCAGAATCATTTTTTATGTAAAGCCCAATGATCAGGAATAGCTGGGTCCAGTTCGAAACCATCAAAAAGCTACTGATTTACTATTGATTCCTGCCCTGAACTGATTCATATCCCGATTCTTCACGGCTGGATCATCTTAGTAACTCGATCCCGTGACGAAATCTGACACCATCTTGGTAGTTATACTAAATTAACTAGTGTGAACCTCTAATTAACAAATTGGCTGGTTGAGAGCTTTCAGCAAATTAAGGGTAGGCCCTACAAATATTTAATTAAGGTAATTGTTTAATATTGGGCCTGAATCGGCAAATACAGGGTTTTTTATATTATTATATGAATAAATGAATGAATGAAACTCTCTTTATTGTTCTCTTTACATAATAATACACAATATTCACGCTATACTAACTAAATTACAAATATTTATCAAGCATGCATTTGTGAGTCAAGACGGACTATTTATTATTCATTTTGTACTGTGGGTGACTTAGCATATTGCTTTGCTTAATGACATAATTAATCATTGAATCATTTGAGAGTCCTAAAGTAATGACTTTCAAGCTGTAGCTTAGCAGAAGACTTATGAGAAAAATGATGCAAAAATTATGAGAAAAGTATCTCTTTCATGTGACAGTTCTTGTAAAAAACTTTTATCTAAATATTACGTACATTTTTCGTAAGTTAATTTTCAGTTAGGGACTATACTTTAAAATTAGAATAAAAAATAAATACTTTCGATATTATTTTATTCATTTTCATCGTCATTACTTTATTTATCGTTTTTACTCGGTTTACAAAATTACATTAGTTTTTAGCTAACACTTCATTATAAAACATTTACCGTATGGGTTATTACCGCGTGTTTTCATTTTCACCTTTGGGTAAATACATAACAATTATTATTGTTGCTAAAATGCGTTTTATACATTATGTCACCTCTTCATAATATTCACTAATTTATTAAACCATGCTAAATTAGTAATCCCTTATAATGGTCTAGTAATTTATTTCCGTAAAAATAATAGTTATTCTGCACTTTAACATTCAATTTACAATATCCTAATTGACACTAAAACAGTTATTTATAAATTATAGATTTTTTACGTAGATATAGTGCAGCATTGCTTTTAAGGTTTATGAATTTCGACGATTTAAATGGTTACTTCACTTATTTAAAGAGTAGTTTACGATGAATTCTGAACTTATTCATACTTAATAAAATATATTAACAATAATTAAACGCGTATTACATTGAGTGTACATAGTTTAGTTACAACTAATTATATTTATTTTAATTCTTTTAAATCAGCTAAACATGTAAAATGCATGTAAAACATTTAGCAATTGACATTTTTGAACCCAACAAAAAATTAATTGTTCTTTCTGTCAAAATATCAATAATATTGTGGATTATTTCATTATTCCAAATCAATTAAAGCACCCCTCAAAAAAAGTTAAAACTAATTTTAGTGCGTAACACTATTTGTCACAAAATTATCTCCTACCTTAAAACAAGTGGCACAAGTTATCCGTAGTGAGCACTGAAAACTAAAAAAGTTGATCACTTCACTCAATACTTCGCGTATCCACTACTATAAGTAAAGGACCTCGCGGTGGCGGATCGGCTTCTGAACTCTGGCAAAAGCACGCAGCGACCGAGAGACGCTAGCGCTCTAGTGGCGCAGACGGGAACTACAACAGCGACACTAGCGCTAGCGGACCACGTGGTAACTATTGCATTGTTGCGGTGAATTGCTGTATTTTTGTTTGTTTATAAACCACAGATCAGCTCTGTTTTAACACAGAAGACAGCACTGTGGTTAATATAAACAAAAGAATATAATATTTCAAAGCTATATTCTAGATGCATATTTAATAACTCAATAATTTAACTAGAAAAACATTATATGGAATACAAATGAACCAATGTGTTAAAAAATGTCTAATAATGTGAAACATTTAAATAGCAACATAAACAAAATTACAATACCCATGCGCATGCTCAAACAGAAGAGATGTAACAGAAGTAAACTAAGCGCGAAGAAAAATTGGTCAATTTTAACCCCAAAAAATATAAAAGGTGATATTAAAAATAATATAATAAATTGAATATCTCTATTAGGCCCTACACCATTTGAAAAGAACTTGCAGAGCAGGAGGAGGATCCACTTGAATGAGTTATCAGGTCATGGCAAAGTTATGGGGTTTCAAATTGTTTCAAATTGTTTTTGTTGTTTTTGTGTTTAAGAAATGTCTTATTTTTTTATTCTTACCTTTTAAACATAAAAATGTCCAATTTTCCTCAAAACCAATTAAATTTGAAAAACTAGATAATTTTATACAGCGCTGTAGGATTACAGGTTACGGAGAAAATTCCCATAAACTATACATTAAACATTCCTATGTTATTCTTTTTTTGGGGGGGATTTTTATTCTTTATTATTTTATTTTTATTATTCATGAAACTGTTGAAGTTTGCTTATATATGGATATATTTTGATCGAATTGGCAAATCTATTTATGATATTGTACTAATAATATTTTATTAAAGTTCCCCTTTTGTTCCTTTACTGTAGCAGTATCATAAACGTAAGTACTCTTTATATCTAATGTTATTTAAATAGGCAATCCATCTGACATGTTTAAGAAATTTTGTAGTAAAGGCCAATTTACAGTAGGTCTACTGTGCTGTAACGGGTCTATTTATTTTTTGAACAGGTAGACTTACAGCTTATTTTAAGCTCAAATTTAATAACTCACAATGCTATGGAAATTGTTGTAGATTAACTCAATTGTCGTCTCCTTCCTAATAAATTTTAATGAAATATTGTTACTCACCACTGATCAAAATCCACGATAGTGTTTTCCAATTTTTTCATATTGATATTCACAGGCTCTTTAAGACTCATCTGCAAATATAATCATAGCTACACAATATTACACAAACATAGTCACTCTAAATGAAAAGGAAATGTTTCGTCAACAAGAAGTACTACGTATCTAAATCCATCGGTTTTTAGCAGGATTTGAACCCGATACTTACAAAAACCTTACGTGCTACACCAGAACATCCCCTTGTTTGCAAACGATATCAATAATACTCCAGTTTAAAAGTGTAACCCATATCAATGATACCTTTGAAATATTATGTTCAGGCAGTTATTAGGTAAATAAAACCCATTAACTTACAATGAATTAAATGTTTGTTGATGATAAACCCACGACATAAAGAGTTATTTACCTACCTCAATCAAGCTTCAATCATAATAAAAAGGATCCTGTTAAAAAAATTGAATAAATTATTTTGTCTCTTGTTTACAGTTGAAATGTAAACATTAAACTATGATGGATCAGCTGTTTCGTTAAAATTATTTAAACACTTATAAATTCAGCATCTTTGGATCTTTAAATGCGAACTCTATAAATAAATCAAACGCCAGGGGGGCGAAGCCCCAAAAGAAGGCTATTTAGTTTCTATTTGTCTCTCCGCTAGCTCATAAACTGTACAACGACACCCCAATCGTAATAATCGGACGGATACAGAGCAACACTTTATTGTATTAAGTCTAAGATAGATAGTTAGTTCTCGTACGATTATAAAATCCCTATTTTCAATCTCTCAAACCAGTTTCGTAATCCTTCCGCATGTATGATATCAATTTGGACACCTTCATTAGAATTTGTAATTAATTTAATTATAGAGCACAGAAAATTAAGCGAGACTAATTTTTAATTTGAGCTGATGCTACTGAAAAGTAATGGTTAACATCTTACATTGAAGCAGATACGCTGGCATTAACTGAACCACCAGCTGTGGACTTGTTTGGTCATATACAGACGGGGTTTTAAAACTTTTGGTTCATTAGACAATTTCTGTAACGTTTGACAGGGATAATTATGTTTGCAAATCACCCTTTATGGTGTGGATTTGCAGTCAATAAATTATACGTTTATTACATAAATCATCTATATTATTAATACACTACATGAAACGTTGTGAACTGTTTTAAGATTTAACCTGACATATTATATACCAAAATTGAACGTATTTGTTTACATTATGATCAGCTGGACAATTTAATTGCTGTTAAAAGGAAACGTGAGCCACAAACATTTACTGACTTGTTTGAAATGATATATTTACTATTTAAATATGGGTTGGCGTAAATATTACAATGGAAAAAGCAACAAAGCCTTCAATGGAAAAAGCAACAATTTGATAACTAAAAAGAAAACTGAATTAACACTGTGCTGCATTTCTTGTGCAATCATTGAAAGAGCTGATTTGCAAACTATGGAAACACAGGAAAGTCATAGAACACCACCAAGTAGAGGAAATAGAAATATATATATATTTTTAATCGTTATTATGGACAATCTCATGCGGCTATGAGTGGGAAAAATTTGGAAAAAACACAAAAAACGCGATTTGAAAAATGATGAGATATTTACAAGAAATGTTTATTATATCGAACTGCTACGTACATCAACGTGAATATTTCCATAATCATTGAGTCGACTTTTCTAAAGTCATCGGAAATTATTACTGTTATTCTTTTTTAAATAACACCTGTAATACTCCGCTCGAATTTGAGCAACAGGTACACTAGTTATTATTTAATAGCTGAGTCATAGTGCTCGAGTAAACAATTAATTCAAAGTAGCCAGATTGATCCAGAGAAAGGTCAGTAGCTTTTTGATTATTCGAAACTGGTAATTTTTGTCATTGGGTTTTAAATAAATTATCCAGGCTAGTGAAACACCCTGAGTCAGTAACAAAGCTACAAAGATCGTCTCACTTTAATCTACAGTCATAATTTACTCTATAGGTTAAAATACGCACCTATGTGGCATTCACATACCAATTGAAAATAGTAATGATAAAATATTAATTAACAACTGTCTTAAACAAACCTAATTCTTGAAATGTAAAAGAGTATTGCATTGTTTTGCCTCGGGAAAGAGGTTTGAGTCCAATTAAAATTCACAATTTTCGCCTTAGTCCCCTCGTGCAATAAAGTTACAAAGGACGGACAAAGCTAGTGTTCAGATACAAAATAATTTCTCGCCTTATTAGCCTTGCTTCGATTCATATGATAAACGATTTCGGGAATCAACTTCGGGCAAAGGAACGCCCAGGAAACAAGACGTTCCTTCCCCGTGGATAATCATCCTCCTGGAACTTCTGGGAAGATTCGGCACAATTGGCAGGTTCTGGGGTATCATGTGATATTTCTGAGTTCTACTTCATTCTACAATGGCGTACGCTATGAAGAATTGTGCTGGCGACGGGAAACCAGGCAAGAACCAATGTTTTCCAATGTCCATGCATATTATGACGATCAGGGATGATTATGACAATGTTGCAAAGGAAACCCTAATGGAACCCTGATTGTAGAAGAATCATCGACGTGGTTCGTTTACATTGATGAGAAGAATAAAAGGCTTGTAAATACGGAGAAGAGTGAATTTATAGACGATTTGAGTGTGTGAGGCAAGACCAAGACTTGCAAATTTGAGTATAGAGCCCTAGGAGGAGTGTTATGGTATAGTATAGTGCTCAGCGGTTCGATACCCGGCACAACCACAACAAATATGGATTTCGACCGCTTTTCCTAAAAGAGTTATTTCGGTACACTAAGTGTTTAGAAAGAGATAAAAAACGAAAATTATGAACTAACAACAAAGTGAACTCAAGAACGACTCGGTAAGAAACACTCTAGGAAAAATGTACGGAAACATCTAAAAATGTCAACTCCTGTTTAAAAAAGACAGTTTAACACCACCTTTCAACTCTACAGCTCTCGGTCCATATTTGATCAGCTGTCTTATACTTGACATTTCCCAACAATACGTTCATTACAGAAGGTTGAAGGTTAGTTCCCAGCGTATGTCACCTGTGCTTCCGCTGGTCCGCGGACTGAACTTCCGGTACAACAGGTGATCGTCGATAGCCGATATCGGTGGCACTGATGACCTTGAAATGTAAACATTAGGGCAAGTCTTCGTAGAAGGCACTGGGTAATGTGTGATGTAAAAGGCTGTGCTCGAAAATAGTAGCCATTTTGTATATTTTCTTTTTAATATGTGGGTAATCCATAGTATTTCCATTTTTTCGAATTTTGGTTAAGACAAATCCAATAGAAAGAAAATAAAGTAACATTGTTATCATACCTTTCTAGTTGTTTAAATAATTTGCGTTTGATTTTTGGTGAAGAGAGTTCTACAATAAAGAAACATTTTCCATTCCTGGGAGACCTAAATTTTGGTTTCCATGTACAATTTTTTTTTTTTTTAGTAGGTGGACGTACAAAACAAATTAAAATCCAAGGTGGGTCACGTCATTATCACAAATCTTAATGTAATTGGTAATTGGATAGGTTTGAGTTCGTGCTATCACTTCAAAAACCTGGGTAAAGAAAATGTAAATGATAGTATGTAAATTTATTTATAAGATACTAAAGTCGATCTATAAATACTAGTCCGCGTTTCTATTTTGTGAAACTCCACATCCCAAAATGTAGTTTTACAAGCCAAATTTATCATGGACTTTAGAGACATTTTAAAGTAAAAAATGAAGAAAACAGATTTGTAGATTGTAATTATAATTTACTTGTTGAAATCAAAT